AGACTGCAGTCCTCCTCTTCAGTTTCAGCAAGTAAGCTTGTGTCATTTGCATAACGTAAGTTGTTGATGAGTCTTCCTCCAATCCTGATGCCACATTCCTCCTCATAAAGCCCTGCTTCCTGAACGATCTGCTCTGCATATAGATTGAAAAGGTATGGGGACAGGATACATCCTTGATGCACTCCTTTCATAATTTTGAACCATGCAGTGTTTCCCTGCTGTTCGGAGGAGTGCTTCTTGGTCCAAGTATAGGAATTGCATAAGCAAAATCAATTGTTCTGGGACTCCCATTTTCCTCAAGGAGCTATGGGAAGATACCAAGAATAGAGTTCATGAAGAATGCAAAAGGTCATTATAAAGAAGGAAGAAGAAAAGACCAAGTTGGATGTCAGGAAGAAACTCTGAATATCACACAAGAGAACCAAGAAGACAAAGCAAAGGGAAGAAAACAAGAAGTTAAGGAGCTGAACAGAAAATTTCAAAGGGCAGCTTGGGAAGACATGGCAAAGTATTAAAATAAAATGTGCATGGAGCTGGAGTTGGAAAATCAAATGGGCCAAACTTGCTCTGCATTTCGTAAGCAGAAGGAACTAAAGAACAAACTGAAGCTGTGAGTTACAATGCTTAAGGATGCCAGGGACAGCATATTTAATGATTCCGGAAGCATTAAAAGAAGATGGAAGGACTATACAGAGTCAATGTACCAAAAATTGGCTCACACAGAAGAATTTCAAGAAACAACATATGATCAAGAGGCGATGGTGATGAAGCAAGAAGCTCAGGCTGCTCTGAAGCACTTGACAAAAAAATAAAGCCCCGGGAATTGATGGAATAACAACTGACGTATTTCAACAAACAGATGCTGCCCTGGATATGATAATCAGGTTGAGCCAAGAAATCTGGAGGACAACTACCTGGCCAATCAACTAGACAAGATCCCTATGTATTCCCATTCCAAAAAAAAAAAGGTGACCCAATCAAGTGTGGAAATTACCAAACAGTATCACTAATATCACCAGCAAAATCCTGAAGATCATCCAGAAATGACTAGAACAGTACATTGACAGAGAACTACCAGAAATATAAGCTGGGTTTAGAAGAGGTCGTGGCACTAGAGACACAATTATCACTAATGTCAGATGGATCTTGGCAAAAAGCAAAGAACACGAGAAGAATGTTTATCTGTAATTCATTGAATGCAAAGGCACCTACTTTTACTAAAATGTTAAGTTTATATCCTTATGGTTTTACATATTATTTGTTTCTATTTTCTATTTAACAAATAAAATTATTTGATATTAATTAATACTTAAACCTCTTTTCATTCAGTAATTTCATAAAATACTCCTGGAACATCTAATATGTACTTACTTTCACTGAAGAAGTACTTGTTATTTTCTATTACAGGCAAAGTTTTAGAAAGTGATTGCCAGGACTAACTCAAAGCAAAATGTAACAAGAAAAAACACTGCCTTCCTGTCCTGCCTTTATTTTGACAAGCCATTTCCATTTGAACTCATTCCCCTCCAATACATCTAGAAAGTTATTTCGGATTGCAGGCACATTTTAAACAAAATTTATTTCTCCTTAATGCTTTCTGATAGGCATGCTGAATTAAAAATAGCCATTAATAAGTCAACCTACTATTCCTTTAACAAGTAGCAAATGTCTGGGGGTAGGGAGGAGAATTTCAAAAAGAACAAATAGCTATGTCTTAGTGAAAGTGCAGCCAGAATGGTCCCTGGAGCCAAAGACGACAAAAGCTTTGTCTCACATATTTTGAGCATATCATTAAGAGACATGATGTTCCTTGCAGAGAGACATCATGCAAGGGAAGGTGGAGGGTCAGTGAAAGGGAGGAAGACTCTCAACCATATGGATTCAAACAGTTACGGCAGCAATGGGCTGGCTATGCCAGAGGATAAGAGAAGGATCAGAACTGTTGTTTATAGGGTCAGCATGAGTCACACTCGACTTGATGGCAACTAACAATACTATCAATGCCCCTAGTTTCCTGTACTATGTTGGTGTACCACTGAAGGTGAACTATTTATTTAGAAATAATGCCTTAATGGCAAAATTACTAGGGCAGTTGAACCTCAGGAAGGGCCTGGTTCCAGGCCTCAGTTTTTTTCCTTAAATAGTCATGTTTTTTAAATTGGAAAACAATAACGGCTAAAGTTATTGAGCATTAAATATTTTAGGTACTGTATGCTTTAAATGTTACTAGCTGAATTCATCATGAAAAAGTCACTGTATAATACCAATGGTATTTCCATTTTATAGAAGAAACAAATCTTAGGTTATGTATTTATCCCAAATTTAAATTGCAAAGTAATAAAATCTGGATTTTAACAAATCTAACTGAATTCTGAGTAACAAAATTTAACCACGTTATCATACTGTACTCCCAGTTTAACTTAAAGACTTGAGATTATATAATACTTTGAAAAGAACATTTTTTTCCTTGTATTTTCTACATAATCAACCTATAGGTAAATAAATCATGAGCATGGTGAATGACAGGGTTCAATGTGCTGATCTCAGCGTCACAATGAATGATAGTTGACTTGCTGGGCCTAACAACAACACAGGTACATTTTCAAAAAAAGCACCTTTTTTTTTTTACCAAATAAAACAAACAAAAAAACCCAAAACAATCAATCTATGACAAAACAAGTCACTGTCATCGAGTAAGAACTCAATCATAGCTGACCTTCTAGTTTTCAAAGTCTGTAAACCGCACAGGACGAGACAACACATCTTTCTCTCATGCAGGTGGATTTAAACCGCCTCTCTTAGGGTGGCAGCACAATTCCTTAGAGACTAAGCCACCTGAGCCTCCTCAATCTCTAAAGTGACATACGAAAGGAAAGGTTTCCAGCACATTAGCAAACAGTGTTTCATCTGTTAATGTTTTTCTATGATTATAACAGACACCTCATTCTGAACAAATATAAACCAAAGTTACGGCTCATAAGTTGAATTTGAACTCCTTTTTTAAATTTATAATTCCCCACACTGATAGTTAAATTGAAATATTTACTCCTTTTAAAAATTATTTCAATTTAACATTTTATTAATGGCCAACAACTCAGTTTTTCTGAAAATAATAGAATATAATTTTCAAGAAAATGTTGGCTATATTAGAAAATGCTGCTAGTTAAAATGATAATACTAAATTTAATTGATAGTTTTAATTAAAAATCTAGAGAGCTCTTGTGGCTTAGTAATAAGAAGCAGAGCTGCAATCACAAAGGCACATGGTTCGCATACACCAGCTGCTCTGGAAGAGGAAGATGGACAATCTCCTCCTGTGTGGTTTTACTGTCTCAGAAAACCTACTGGAAGGCCAGCTATGAATGAGTTCCAACTTGACGATAGTGGCATGGTTGGGCAATTAGTTTAATCACAGAATCACAGTCAGACAACACTCACACTCCACAGCACACAATCACACTCTGTAATATACAACATACATCAGAAAGTATTTAGCCCCAACTATATTTTCTAGTACAATTTCTACATTTTCTTCCCTAGCGAATGGCTTTGGTTTTTTTTGTTTTGGAAAAAAAGGTTCTAAATTGATAAAAACCATGAAATATTACTTTCTTAATAATCTTTCCATAATTACACAAATGTATGATGATTAAAATAGTCCATTGCATGTGTGACTTTCCTATTAAAATTCAATAATTGCTAATTTTCCCTTACATACACTTCTTTTCTCCTTGTACCAGATATACTTCGGTTATCTTTTGCCTGTAAAGGATCCTTCCACTTAGCATTTTATAGCAAATAACAGTTATAACTCCTAAAGCTTTTAATGTTAATTTCATTCTGTTTTATACATTCTTTTTAAATATTCCTATTTTTTTCTACATAAACAAAACTGAAATTTCATTAACTTTTAACATAATAAAGTAGAAAACATGGTTATTTCATAAACCAAATTTTGTACCTTTCACACTAAAAGTCTTTAGAAAATAAGAATAGAAACTAAATTTTAAAATGTCATTAGTTATCTGAGAATAAAATGTAAAATTAATACTATCACTTCTTCATTTCATTATAGTAAAAGAATCTATGCTATTTAATGTTTTCAATTAATAACATCAAAACCAAAATTTAAGTTGCTGTATGGCTGAATTTTTTTGGTTATAAAAGTATGTTAGTTCTAAGTAGGTGTATGGCAAATGAAAATTTTTTACAACCTGGAATCACTTTTATTATGTATTACTTGTAATAAGGGGAAAAACCTTTTAAAATTCCCTAACTTTCTTGAAAAGAATAACCAAATAGTAATGCAAAAACTTCTACATTATTTCTACCTTTGGTTATTTCCATATTTCCATGTAAAATAAGCAAACATATAAGGCACAATTTATACTAAAAAAATAAAATACATTCTGTAGCAGATAAAAATAACCTAAGATTAAAGCACCTTCCTTGAACAACTGTTTGTCTTTACACATCTCTTGGTACATTAATCTTTGCCTGACCTCTATGATACTTAAGCAAATTAGAAAAGCAATATGGGAATAAAATAGCCAAGAGTCTACTGCTTATTATTGGTTTATAGTGTCATGGTTTTCCTGCAATCTCATTTTGTCCAAAGTTGTCTAAAGAAAATAAAGTCTTTTTGTTTTTAAAGCAGAACATGCCCAATGAGTCACAGTTATAAGTTTTTTAAAAATTATAAGGAAATTTTATACACATGCTGTAAAAAAAATTACTTTGCCACTGTCATTGTACTAAGAATATAATTTTGTTGGCTTTTTTCTATTTCACATGCTAAAATATTTTCCTGTTTTAAATTTATTTTGCTAACATTAATTTGTAAAACTCTATGTTCACAGGATTTAAGAAATCCTGGAATATTATGTGAAACATTAAAAAAGGACATATGGTGCGTAAGGTATCTAACAATGTAAACCAAATAAAAAGCAGGCTAGGCAGGTTGCACTCTTTTAAAAAACCAAAAGCTATTTAAAACTTACCCAATTGTTGTCTTCTCTTTTAATTTGGAACAAGTTTTTGTCTTTTTGCTCTCTTTGTCTTTTGGCTTGGATTTCATCCTTCTGCCTTTCTTTTCTTCCTTTCCTTCAACAGAAGCACTAGGGAAGTTTTCAGGGCTCATTACTCGTGGAATATTGCGTTCTCCGCGCTCCTTTGCTTTTGCTATGGCCTCTGAAATTATACGATTAGCCTTTTCTTGCTTGCTTTCTGATTCCATCTTTTTTCTCTGCTTCTTCTCGGACATGACCCTCACCTGGGTATTCTGCAACTTAGTATATGTCCCAGAACCATCACTCTTCTTGGAAGATGGAGGCTAGAGAAACCAAAACATTATTTTATAACATATATGACTGAAAACAATTGACATAAATATTTGAAACTTTAAAATTAGGCTTAAATGGGGAAGTAAAATTATAAAAGCAAGTATGTCAGCGCTTAAGAACAAATTTAAAAGAAAATATATTTCTCTAGAAATTAGTTAGGCATAAAACAAAGCAGTTGAAATTGCGACTTTTTAAAATGGAGGTTGAAATAGGATAACTCAGAATCATGGATATTTTCATTTTTGGTCGGTTAGTTGATTCATACTTTGTCCTAAAAATACTGTGTGCATTTGGTGTAAGAGCCTTTTTTTTCCAGAACTCAGAAAATTATTCATTTAAAACTGTGATTTAATTGAGAAACTATTCCTTACAGTTCACCACATTTTTTAAAAAGAAAAACAAAAGCCTCTACTTTAAGAGACTGAAGTCTGAAACCATTTAAACCATTTTAATGTGCAATCTATGCAGCAATACAGCTAGTTAGTAAACAAACATTCTCATACTTAATATTAGAAAAAGTTTTAGTTTTTCAGTGAAAGAGTTAACCTGTGGGTTTCCCCCACCTTCTATAGCCTAATTATTTCACTCAAGCAATTCTAGGAAAATACAAGTTTTATAATTTTACATTAAAATTATTAATATTTTAGCACTCTCACAGGAAGTAAATCAACATTTTAAAAATCATTTTCCCTTCAAACATACATTCTTCCGCACATACTTAGATCACAGTTTTGTTATGTTCTTACCCGTAAACATGCCTCTGACTATAGCAAAGGGAAAAAACATCAAGGATTTCCAAACACATTTTCATGCCGATTCCAGTGTACTTCACTGGATGTTTTCTATACCTGCCTCATCAAAGGTTTCATAGCAGTGCTGCAGCACTGAGAAAGCAAAGAGGGTTTAGAATTGCTCACTAAAATGCCACCTTAAGGCCTACAAGCTATATAACAAATAACCAAGACTCCAGAAAACAGCAACAAGCTCAAGATGGCGATGCAGTACGACTCCCGCAGCAGCAGCCAGTAATAAGGAAGGTTATTCAATCCCATTAGCCTTTTAGCCCAAAGAACCCCTCCTCCTCCCACTCATTCAAGCTTTCACTTACCCTTCCTCTTGGCCTCTTCACTGAAGACATTTTTGGCGTCAGACAAAGGCTTGCCCTCTGCTTTTTCACCACCCCAGGCAGTGCTCAAGAAAAAAGCATTGAAAGAAGATTCCTAAATGGCCTATTTAGCAAGCTGCAACCAAGAGATGCACAACCCTCCACAAATACACATTGTGATTTATCAACATATTTCTGGCTTGACAAGTTTATATCCACTGTCTATCCGATTCTGGTATGAAAAAGGCTGTAAACCTCTCTTCAAAAGCTGAGTTTACTCAATAGCTGTAAGCAGATAGCCAGATTCCAACAAAGCACAGAAAGAAATGAATGCACAAAGCATCAAAATGCATCAGCATGAATATTAGAGATGTCGTTAAAAATACTGACTCCTTCTGCGGAAGTAGGCCAGCAGATGGTGCTACCAGTTATTATTCCATTAGACTCTGCAATTTAACCCCCAATGGACTGTTCTTCCCTCCAAGTAATACATTAACTCTCACTATACCACTTCCTGTAGTAAAGTTTTTTTAAAAAACATGCGTAATATCTGATTTAAAGAAGCCATGTTAACAACAACAGGGAAAACTGTGGTGAAATGGCATTATAAAGCTATTACCACGCAAAAGAAAATTTCTAAAGGAAAAAAAGATACTTTTCCCTGTGTTATTGGAAACATAAAAAGAGGTGGCGATGATCATATCAAAGGGTTAAAGAGCAGCTCATGCAAATGAACATATAACAAGTGACTTCTCTTTAAGAAATCCGATAAGGTCTTTTACGTTTCTAACAAAAAAAGAACAATATTTTTAAAATAGCAAAATGGAGTTATTTTCATTTAAATTTGAAAATGGAGCAAGAGACTTAGAAAAGAACAAATGAAAGCTGTCTTTAAAGAATGGCTAACCATATGAAAAATTTTTAATTTTAGCATAGATAAATTCAAATTATCCTTTCTATCCTTCAAAAATTCACAGAAATTTCATGACCTTCATCCTTTATATATTTTGGAAGGAACTGAATTTTTCAGATAAAATATTAGGCTCGGGCCTTGCTAAAAAGAAACATATAGCAAGTCCATGGTAATTTGATCAGTACAAAATCTATTGAAAAAACTTGACATTACTTTAGTAAACAAGACCACTAAATAGCTAAAATGAAATTTTACTACTTCAGATGTAATTTAAGTTTATTTAATCAATGTCATCATCAGAAGTCTGTACCAAAGAACTTTGATTTTTATTTTTTTTTCCTTTTAGGCAAAAAAGATCTTAAGAAAAAAAGCAACATGGTCTGGGCAGTGTCCTAGAAATCCCAATTCAGACATCAGAAAGAGATTAAATGCACAAGACCATGAAAAATAAGGAAAACACTGTGCTGCAATCCCAAAGGCCTGGAGTTTGAATCCAACAGATGCTCTGCTGGAGAAGGAGGGGCAATCTCCTTTTGTGCCAGTCAGATCTGATTCAACCAGCACAAGCCAGTCAGATCTGGTTCGACCGCACAAAACAAGTTTAAAAAAAAAAAAAGGAAAGTGACTAGCTTGAGGACATCAATATAAAGGTCAGTAACAATAAAAAGTCAGCAAGTATTATACTAAGTAAGTGTGAGGAGACATTCTAAGCATTTCCACATCAAAACCTCTTTTAATTCTGAGTAACATCTTGTGGTTGAGCTGGAGCTAATAAAAATTGACCCTCCAACAGATTTTGGAGCTGCTGGTTGATTTTAACCTCTCAACTACCCACTGGGTCAGCAAAGTGGTATTAAGAAAATGACAGTGATAGCGGAGATAAGCGATTAGGTAAAGGGCACCTATCACACTATCAACAGTAACTGAAACAACAGTAGGGATATGAGAGAGCAAAAATTATATCATGATAATAAGAACGAACATTTATTTAGTGCTTAGTATATATTAAGAATTATCCCTAATATATTCTACATGTTAATTCAATTAATCTTCAAAACAATCCTGTGAGCTGTGTATATGGTTACCCTCACTATACACAGAGATACTAAGGCATGGAAAAGTGACTGTCCAGAGACCCCAAGACTACTGAATGCTGGCACAGAGGGGCCCCTTCAAGGGACAATGTTTTTAACCATTGTATTTTATCACATTTACTTCAAGTAACAGATTTAGAGAGAGTGATCTGAAGATAAAAAAGTGATAGTCTTAAAATCTCAGGTTGTTGTTGTTGTTGTTATGTGCCATCGAGTCATTTGCACCTCATAGCGACCCTATGTACAAGAGCCCTAAATGCCGTTCTATCCTGTGCCAACCTCGCTGTCTCGGACACATTCATTCCCACCACTCCACTCACAGAATCAATCCATCTCATCAAGAGTCTTCCTCTCCTGCGCCCTAACAATAACAATAATAAAGCTAGTATTAAATTTAGGGTATTCCACTACAGTTTCTAAAATACAGAAACTAGCATAAGGGTGAAGGATAACTGAAGAGCAGGAAGATCATGTTTGTATCCTACAGTAAATAAGTACTAGTACAGAGGGAAAACCTAGAAATACTAATTAAAAAGAGTGCTGAAACTGAAGAGAACCTGAAGCATTTGCTAAAGAAGGTCAAGGACTAGAGTCATCAACACAGATTGAAATCAAACTTAAAGAGAAAAAAAGTACCAACTCTACACAAAACCCCACCAGTCTCACCACTAGGCCAAATGACAGCACCATGACAGATGAAGAAGAGATTGAGGTAACAACTTCAGCTTGCTTGGATCCAAAATCAGAAGTGAGAAAATTAAAAGACAATCAGCATTAGGTAAATCTGCTGTTGGAGACTTCTCCAGAATGCTAAAGAACAACAATGCCTGTCTGGAGACTAAGGTAAACCTGATCCAGGCCATGGTCTTTGCAATTACTTGTTACACATTTGTGAGCTGGACAATGACTAAGGATGACAATAAAATTCGACGCCTTTGTGCCCGAGTTGTGGTGTTGGACAAGAGTACTGAACATACTATGGACTGCCAAGAGAACAAACAAGTCTGTCCTGGAGAGGGTAAAATCAAGATGCCCCTTGAAGGCAAGGATATTGAAGCTGTCTCACATACTTTGGGCATATTGCCAGAAGGAACAAGTCTTAGAGAAGGACATCATTATTGGAAGGATAGAAGGACAGTGCAGGGTATACAGGGAGTACTGGCGGCTTCCTAAGGAATTGTGCAGACAACCCAAAAGGCATGAGGCTCAAATCTGCTCCATGGGAGAAAGATGGGCAATTACCTCCCATGTGATTAAATGCCTCTGAAAACCACTGAAGGGCCAACTATGAGTTGGTTCCAAAACAATGATATATTACTATAATGGAATATTACAACAAGGGGCTATATGGAAGAAATGACCTGGTGATCTGCTTCCAATGATCTGTGTCCATCCTTAACACATGGTAATTGTTCTAAATGGCAATCAACTAATTAACTACTGGCCTCTGGTGGCCTAGTCGAAGAAGGTGATTGCAATCCAAAAGGTTCATGTTCGAATCCACCAACTGCTCTACAAGGAGAAGGATAGACTTTTTCCTCCCATGCAATTCACTGCCTCTGACAATCCACTGCAAGATCAGCTATGAGTAGGTTCCAACTTGACAGCATGCAGTAACAACTTGACTACAGCTACCCAATTATGTTGCTGTTGTTGTTAGGTGCTGTCAAGTCACCTGTGACTCTTAGCAACACTTTGTACAGCTCTAAACCCTGCTATTTTAAGTCTGACTTATCTAAGTTAATGATTTCCTTTTTGTTAGTTTCATTGTTTCCTTCCAAACTAAAATTAGTCCACATTATCCTAATTTCTCTAACTTATATTAGTCTGTTGGTTCTTGTTGTTAAGTGCTGTAGAATCGAGTAAAACTCATAGCGA